GGCGGGACACGCCACTCTCCCCCAGCTGAAGAAATTGCTCAAGTGTCAGAGTATGAACCGGTGCATCGATCCCCGTTTCGCTGACAAGGAAATCATGATAGATGACAGGAACATGGTCTTTCGTGAGCTGGACATCGAACTCGACGTAGGATGCTCCCAAATTGGCAGCCGCAATAAAAGACGGCAAAGTGTTTTCTCCTAACTGTAAAGATCTGCGACTGGCCAAATTCTTCCCTAAACCGCGGTGTCCGATAACCATGGTCGAGCTCATGCTCTTGTAGTATGTCCTGTTGCCAGTAATCGACATATTCGGATGCTTGAAAGGCGTAATGATAAGGAAGTTGAATGTCACGGAGCCAATGACTTCCAAAGTGTTGGCAGCCATGATGGGAACCGTGGAGTCACCTTTGAGATTGATACGGTGAGATCCGATCGTCGGCTTGACGCTCGAAAGCAGAGCAACGCCACGCCCTACAATCTGATCCTTCGAGCCAGCATATGTGGGGATCAGATCAAACAGAAGCCTGACCTTGCTTGGGTCTGCAGCATGGAAGACGATCGGTTCGGTAGAGATGTTATCTTGAACCGGAAGATCAATGATCTCGGGCTCTCCTTCAGCTCCATTGGCCGATACGACGATGGACAGGGCCGTATCCAATTGAGTAGAATGAGCGTTAACCATAGGAATACGGTCAAGATTCACTGCTTCCATGTGCTTTCGCATGTCCATGGTGCCCAAGCTGACCAGAATCATGGCCTTGTCGGTGAGATACCGATGTCCAAAAGTCTTAATAGGTTCAGTGCTCCGCGGCGCAGGACTCCCGCGTGGGCTAACATTAGATCGTCTCTCGGTAAGGGAAGATTGCGAAGGTGGGGAGGATTGGACAGAAGACACCGAAGGAACGGGTATCGCAGGCTCAGCTTCCGTTACTTCGGGTTCGGGTGTCACTTGTGCCAGACGTCTCGCAATATCAAGATGGCCTCTCAATGCAGCATGTTCCTTGGCACTCCAGCCCGAAGAGTCGAGTCTCTCGAGATTAGCGCCAGCTTCAATGAGCAACTCCACAACACTCAGGGATCCGTCGACGCACGCAACGAAAAGCGGCGTCCACGAATAAGTATTTTCCGTAAGCTCAGTGTCCGCCTTCTGATTGTCAGTGCCCTCAAGCAGAATCTTTGCGCACGCATCGTGACCAAACCGAGCGGCCACATGCAGCGCGGTTTCGCCCTGGTCATCCTGGTAGTTGATGTCGACTCCCGCATCCACAAGGAGTTGCACTATATCGACGAAATTTGCCTTGGTGGCTAATGCCAAGACCGCGCTGGATTTCGACACGTGCTTCCGTATGGAGGCTTTTTTCTCGGAAGCCCCCTGCCAGTTCTCCGCCTCCAAGAGTGCCCGGGTCGTCAATGGGTGACCGCCAACAACACTCAAGTGCAAGGGAGCCCAGCCATCGTTATCCTGCCACAGCGGTGCATCAATGCCTTCACGAACATCAAACATATCCCAAGCTTGCAGATGTTCAATGATGACCTCGCATACCACTTTGAACCCATACTGTGCACCATAATGCAGAGGGGTGCGTCCAGAAAGATCTTTGGCTAGCAATGCGCCGCGCTGATGGGGCTGGAGTTCGTCCAGAATAAACTGCAAAAGTGAAACCGATGGGTCGTCTCTGTCCAGAAGCTGAGGATGGTTCGTCTCTTTTACCACTGAGCGGGGTGGCTGCATTGTTGGAGGAGCAGCAGGGGTGATGTAATGAGAAGTTTCCAGCGAAAAATCAAGCACCATCGAGGCGGACGACTCTGAGTCAGTGGACGACTGCGCTCGTCCGATAGAAATAACCAAGCGATGGATACAGTTGCGCTTATTGATGTCGTCCTCCTCGTCGAGCGAGTCGATTCGACCAAGAAGGACTGAAATGCACGCCTTGGAACGATAGTGAATGGACCGCTGAAGAAGACTTTTCAAGACCTTGGGATAGACTGTTTCTCCGATATCCTCCGCAGCTTTCTTCAGCGTCTCCATTAGTTCCAGGAGAACATGTGTGTCATCCTTGCGCAAAGCCTCGTCGACCTCAGCGAGCATGCTCGGGGGCAGATTGAGGTTGGGTCGCGAAGGTCCTTTCTTCAAGGAAAGCGAGGATTTCGTGGAGCTTGCATCATCAAAGACCTTCTGGTCTCCAAGCACGGAGAGCCAATCGTTGATTGTCTTTAAAGACTCGGTGACTCTTGCGTTCGAGGCGAAAGGCGACGGATCCACTTTAGTCTCCAGGTATGTCTGTTGTGCCTGGACGCCGACCTTCTTGTCAAGCTTCTTGGTAATTTTGACAAATCCACGACGGTTCACTTCGCCATACCACTGCAACTTGCGCAGTTGACCGCGCAGTTCGAGCAACGCCGCCAGAAGATCCTCCACATCCTCCGAATCAAGCTCATGCCCTTTATGCAGGGAATGGCCGTATCGCTCTTCCAGCAACTTCAACCGACGGGAAAAGTCCGCAAATTTTTTGTTGTAGAAGTAATCGACATCCTCGAGATTTCGATCGAGAGAGTAGAAGAATTCTGCATGAGATCTTCACGTTAGTAGGCCGCTTCGCCTTGTGGCGCATGGCATGGAGAGAGAAACCCACCCGCAAGATCCGCTTCACGGCCGTCTTTCACCTCTTCTGCCGCGGATTTGATCAGTTTCTTCAAGGCCTTGTACCTGATGTACGAAGTGCTCCATTCGGGAACGACATTGCGAGGCAAGTTGCGCCCAAACTTCATGATGAAAGGCTGCAATCGTAGCCTCTAAAGGAGAGCCAAAAGCGTGCTTCGTCTGCTCAGAGAGATCGAGGTTTCTCTCGACAATGCGCAGGAGCGGATTTTTATGGAATCAGGGGGATAAGGATAGAAATAAGGAGTGTTAGGAAGGACAGCGAACAATCGGAACCCTCAAATAAACGAGCAAAGAGAAGCAAGGAAAAGGGTATTGGAAGGTCTCGACAATAGCTCCATCTGTCAGTCTGTGCGAAGAACTATAGGTTATGTAAGGACGTTGTCTCGAAGAAGTGGAAGACAGAATACAGCCTCACTCCAGTGCGTCAAGGACTTATAGGTAGTGAATGCGACTGGGTAGCCGGCGATGTTTTGAAAATTGTCTTTCACGAACTATACCCTCAAGGGTTCCGAGTTAGCACGTGGTAAAACCGACCAGAAAGATGCGGTGAATAAAGCCGAGCGAAGGCAAGTGAGTGCAAGGAGGATCCCTTCAGAGGCGCGTCTAGTGAGCAGACTGTACCTTTTTAGACAGTAGTGGATTTAGACCATTTAGACAGCTGCGAGTGACCAAAAATTCTAACAATCGAGGGCAACGCTAGCGATGAGAAATCTGCAATGTGGGTCAACCGGGAGATCGGTAGATGAATGATAAATGGAACGCTCGGGGATAATATCAAGAATAACGGAGATGTCTCTATGATAATAGTAATAAGAAGAATGAAGGAACCTGGTGGGTAGAGAAAAGGGATCAACGAGTGAGAAATGACAGAGGAAGCACACCTTCGGGGAAAGATGGCGATTCTTTGACTGATGCTCAGCGGCGTGGGTATCAAAGACACTGTGATTTGTCCGCCACACCTTGTTGGTTCCAAGGGCGAGATGTCGGACACTCGGGAGTCTCTGTCTGCATTGAGCCATGATTAGCACTCCTGGTATTGTTGTTGTTGTTGTTGCTGTCATCGTCGAGGGAGATTCTCCGGTATTCTGGAGTCGACACATACCCTGAAACTGCAGTAGTGGTGGCAGTATAACGTCAAGTAGAGGTTAGGAGTAACTTGAGTATACTACTCTAGCAGTAACATCTGTATGAGACTATTGGTACACCTCTAGTAATAAACGAGAGAATTGGAGATTGCTTTGCAATGGATCAAGTCCAACTATATATAACCAGACATACTCGTCACGAAGCTCAAGGATGATACTCTAATGATGTATCTCCTCCGTATGTTGCGCCAGTCCCACTCGACTATCCAGCATCCAACAAGATACGTGGGGAAGATTTACGTCCATCAGCTCCTCCTCGCCAATGGGAGATGCCAAGAGAGAGAATTCAGTCCCCATTTCTCAATACAAACCACGAATCAAAAGAGAAGTACGGAGCAGGTATGTAAGTATGCTCATTGCTCCCCCTCAATGACGGGAGGTGATCATCCTCGCTATGACTGTCAACGGGTTGCATGTGGCTTGTCCGCACATGTTTTATTCCTGCAGTGGAGGGTGGGGGATGTTGTCTACTGCAGCCTGCAGCTATCTATATCATTCCAGCTGGATTCAAACCATCAAAGCTCCTGCATGCCCCTGTAGGATTGGCATCCCTCCGTCTGTATTGTTAGTACTTGATACTCCGTATTCGCTGATGAGAATTGTCGGTGAGCCTCATCCATGAGATCGCCTAGGTTCTTTGAGATGATCATTTGCTCTTTCCAACCTCTCCCCCTGTTAGTTGGTATCAAGGTGTCGCGGTCTGTAGGTACAGTCTCCCGCTTGAAACCCTACGATGGAATCCTTATCAATCGCGATATACACTTCAAAGTCACACAATGCACCAATAATATTGATCATATCCCATTCCTTCCCGTACATTTCAGAGTGCCTGTTCTCTATCCTTCGCTCCATCGTCCTATCCAATCTCCAATGATGCCAGATTTCACTAAAACCCCTGTCTAGAGTATATCCCTTTTCTTTCGCTTGCATCTCAGCCATCATTCCCCCAACGCCCCCTAATCTTCCATCAGACAACACCACAACCCCAGCCGGCCCCCCGAGTGATCCAAAAATTTATCAAATTCACCACCAGTGGATTCAAATTACTCAATGGCAAATAAGATATCTTCCGGTGTTCCGGTTATACCCCATCCTTTGTAGGGCACGGAGGGGTTGCCAGTAGGCAATCCTTCTATGTACAGATCTAGTACGGAGTAAATACTCCTTACTATCAATAATAAAGTATGGACTACCGAAGAAAAAAGAAAAGAGCTCTTCGCTCTTCCCGAAAAAAGCGAAACAAAAACCATGCAATGCCATGTACTCCGTACTCCATAGGGCATCACGAGCCTCTTCCATCTCAGCAAGGCTATTCTTTCAGCGCGACCGACTATTTGCAACCATTCCTCTACTATCTAAGGGGTACCTATAGCTCGTGGTATTGCACATAATCGATCAGCAAGTCGACTTCCGGAGAGTATATGCTCCGATGTGGCACGGGTCAGATGACTACCTACAGTAGACTACTGTCTCATCGCCGTTGAACTTGACCCTTCCAGATGCCATTCTTCACTAGATCCGCTCGTCTACTGAATTCTGCCGAAGGTGTTGTTTTGCTTTTTCTGCATACAGATAATAGACCGACCTTTACCTTTAGAATACGGAGAAAGGGGCAAGAATGGATAGGGATGGCTTGAGTTGACTGTGCACATGACGAATCTCGTGACCACTCCCAGGGTCAGTGCTTTGTTCCATCGAAGAAGAATTGAATCTCGATTAGAAGGACTTCGAGCTGTGCTGTTAAAATGTGAATTCGCATTGCAAATCGTGTCTATGGAGATTCTGCGAGACAACCTGTAGAGAAAAAAGAATAACCCCTAAAGTAAAACGCCGAACCCTCCCTAACGCTAAGTGACCAACAATAACATCCTCTGCTAAAAAGTAAAACAAGATCAGAAGTAGTCATTATTGAAGAATAGGAGCACAAACAGCTCAGCAGAAAGAGATGAAAATGAGGTAGGGAATCACACGAGTGGCTCAGAAAACATGCCGGAAGCAAGCATCGGCAGACACAACCCATTGAGACCTCGCCATACAGATGGCCCCTCCTGATGGTCCCAGTAACTCCGTGAACTTCAACATATTAGCGAGAAAAAACCACTTGCTTCAGACGAACATCGCGACGAGGCTTATTGGCTCTTGACTAGTGGCTTCAAAGCTTCTACTCCAGTCTGGAGTATCGCCGGGTTCGACGCCTTCTTCAGCACACTGGTCAGTATATCGACCCCTCCACACTTCTCCACCATTTCTTTCGCGCGCTTAGATATGTCACCAGTTGCCACGCAGGTCAGATTCCGAATACACGCCACACCCCGATGCACAAGCCCTTCGTCGTCTTCTTTACAGAGACCCAGAAGTAGCTCAACGCCACGCGGCCGATCGAGGATGCCCGCAATAGCAGCATCGAGCTCGGTAAGCATAGCCAGCGCGCCACCGGCAGCTCTGCGTGTCTCCATGTCATCGGTGTCAGTGAGCGCCAGCAGGATGTGGAGCCGCTGAGCAGCCCGCTTGGAGCCATCAGCAAATTTCGCTACACCAGACTCGCACGTCATCAGATTGCAAACCAGTTCACATGATGCTCGTTGAATCATAGGGCTACTGGAGAGTAGGAGGTCTTCGACAACTGTCCATGCATGGCGAACTATGGCCTCCGCTGCGGACGGATCCGGGTACGATGCAAGATTCGTTAAAGCGAGAAGGCCCTCAAACACAGGTAGCAAATCGCGCGGCTGTTCTGCACTCAAGTTGCCTACTTCAGGCGTCGTCAACAGACTGGTCAAAGGCCGAACGGCTGAGGTGACCTGAGGGATTCCGGAGGATGGGAAAACGAGGGACGGGTTGACAGAGATAAGTATACGGGCGAGTGCATGCGAGGCGCTCTGCATTGCCTCGTCAGAAATTGAGCCCGACGTGCCTTGTCTAGCAGACCCCAGGCTGAGAAGTAGCTTAACCGCGCCTTGTTGCGCAAGAGTTCCTCTAGATTTGCGGTCTCGGGACAAAGAGAGCAGGATTTTGCTCACGAGCCCCTGCGCGGAAGGCAGACTGCTCTTGCTGCATTCGATGAAAAGAGGCATGACCCCGGCCTGAACTACGGCGCTGCAACGAGCGATGACGTGCTCGTCGTCGTCTAGCGGATGCGGCCCAGCTCGTGCTGTCGCGCCCGAAGCGTCTGCGTACGCTCTGAGTTGAGACATCTTCTTCTGTTCTTCGGTCATCGAGGGTAGAAACTGTGTGAGATTCAAAATGATCATCAGGCCACCATAAAGCACCGATGCGTCGATGATACTGCCTTTCAGCACCTTGATCAAATCTTTCAAGAAAGCAGAATCCTTCGCAAGCTGCTCCTTTACAACTGGCTTGACGGAAGAATAGGCCAAACCTTCGATTGCGTTCGAAACACTCTCGTCCTTATGCTTCGAGATCTGTTCCTTGAAGCGTTTGACCAGCTCCGCTGTCTGGCCGTCCTCCTCATGATCTTTACCATTGGACGTGGTACGATTTTCTTTTTCAGAAGCCCGAACCTTCGCCAATATCACCGCTGCCAACTCTGAGCTCTGATCGTTGCCATTCGTCAAAAGGTGAGAGAGCCAATCGGAGAGGTGCTTAGAAACAGCATCTCGACAGGCCTGGTGTATGCAGGCTGCATTCAACAGCTCCAGAATGGCCGTTTCCACGTTCCGGCTCTTCATGTTCCTCGAGGTAAATGGCGTGAGAGAACTAATGAAATTTTCCGACAGGAACAGGGAAGCAGCAATATCTGGCACAACAGGGAAAACGGCAGCGAGGGCGGAAAATGCGACTATGTGATCGTCATTGCGTGCATTCGTCACTTTCGTGGAAAGAAGTCGCGAGAAACGGTCCTGCCCTGCTTCCTTCGAAGTTTCGAGGTATTTGACTGTCGCGAGAGTTGCCTGGCTCCTCACCTCGAGAGGAAGTCTAATGTCAAGGGAGGCAAGGATCACGTCAAGTCCTTCATCATCGACCAGATGTTGCAGCTTGACCGCATCGACCGCGAGTAGGCGTGCAATACCTTTCAGCGACCGACCATCCAAGTCATGTCCCGATTCCATGAGCTTAGCGATGAAGAGCTGGAAGAGTTCGCTTTCACAGTGCAGGCGCGTATCCTCTGATGGCCACACGGCATGATCCAGGACCACAGTATCCAGACAGACTGCCGCTCCATCGCCCCGATCATAGATCTCGTCAAAGAAAGTCGTGACAGATACCTGAAGCCGGTCCGAGAAGTATTGCCGTACGCTGGCGTTCTGGCGCACCAATCCCGAGATAATATCATCTTGGAGAGAAGATAGGCTAGAAGGTTCCCGTGCTAGTATGAATTTGACGCATTCCAACGCCACCTCCTCTGAAGGTTTGAGACCATCGGTGCGGAGATAGAGAGCTGCATCCTTTCCCGCGCTCTCGTCCTTTCCAGAGGTATATCGGCGGCACAGGTCTAGCAGGTAGTGACCATTATTTTCCTCTTGTTGAATCTTGATAATGGCAGCTTTGACGGTTGGATTTTCTGGTGCTAAGGAAAGAGCTTCCCGGAGATTTCGCGAGGCAGCCTGCGGAGAGGACAAAAAAGTTAGCGGAGTTTGGGAAATGTACAGAGGCGTGAAACAGACAAAAATGGCGGACCCATAAGAGAGCACGACCGATGTCAACAAAAACAGAAGAGTAGAGATTTGCTAGATAAAAAAAATGAGTATACCTCACGGTGGCCAGCGTCTGCCAGCTCAACAGCCTCCCGTGTCAGATGTACAGCGCGCTCTTCGCCTGTCGAGTGAACCATTTCAGGCTTGATAAGAGGGGCAGGAAGGAGGGAGGATCGCGGAGAGAGAGAAAGAAATTGCAAGCAAGGTGTGAAGACAGGTAAGAAGATGTAGCAGAGCAGAATCCAGAAGGTTATCTCTGCTTAGAAAGAGCTAGAGAATTAATCACGCTCTAATGATAGCAGACGTCAAAGTGAGTAGCAGCAAGGTAGTGTTGGTGGTACTTCAACCCACGGCCTCCGAAGTGACGGTCGAAGAACAAAGAACACATGCAATCATGGAGATTATAAAGGGAGCTATGGCTGTCCAAGTAAGCAGGCAGGCCCCGAACAAGAATAGATAGCAATCAGGTCAATGATGCAGTTGGATGAAGGTTATGCAAGTACTGTAAGGAAGTAGGATAAGTTGCTTTTTTTTTTTTTTTGTCATGATCATACCTCTGTAATGATTTCCCGGGACGATGAGTTCCCTTTTGGTAAATAATACAGCACTTCAGACCACCAAAAGGAAGCAATCACCAGGCAAAATGACCGCGGAGTTATGGTATCTTACATAGAATTACATTACATACGGCAGTGGCGGATATGGGTAATTCATAATACGTGCCTTGATACATCGACTCGGCGGAGTCGGCGCCCCTCCTGCATCAGCTTCATCAGCTTCATCCTACGATCATCTTATTTCTATCTAGCGTGTAGCTACTCCTTGGCACAAGAAACTCGTCTCAGTATGATTGACTATGACCAGCCTCACTGTTGGCAATGCTCGTTGTACAATAGTCTGAAGATCAATGGCTTGGCAATTATCGACGACCCCTCGCTCGATGTAAATTACCTTGACCACAGAAGTACATGGATGTTCGGTAGAACTAAATGCTGATAATCAAGACATCTAATCGCAATGATCCTGATTATTCAAGAATTTAGGTAGAGATAACAAGCGGCGCCAACCACAGAAGCCAATGAGACCACGTTGCCCACACTCGGCCGCGGGCCCCCTAAGTTCCTTCGTGGCTATAGGCTCTGAACCCCTCCATTACTGAGCCCGGAGTCCACTTCACACATGCCGTGCTCCGTGCACAGCCAAGGGCTGCGACAGTCCGGCTCCCCTGTTCAACAAGCTTGTTTCGGCCTCTTGAATATCTCGATAAACTAGAGACTGGATTACTCCGTATTTCGGCATTAATCAGTGCACCCAATGCACACCGTCCAACGCTTCCAAGACTTTCTCTTCCCAGAAGTACTACTAGTGTCTGTGACCCTGCACACCATCCAAGTCTTGGCTATCTCCTTGCTCAGGAAGAGAAGATCCTACAAGCTTGAAGATAGTTGATTCTCGAATGAACGATGAACCGGATTGAACTCGATTTCATGATTTGTGTCTAGTGTTCTGGGCTTCTAGACTCTGTCTCACCTTACACTTGTCTCGCGTCGCCGTACGGTCACCGCTTGACAACTTATGCCCCTTGTATATGTACTTCCAGGCGAGCTTACTCCGTACTAGAGACCAGGAGCAGTAGCACAAACGTACTCCGTGCCTTAGTGCATTTCCACTTTTAGCACGGGTCGTATTCCGAGGAGAGCTTGCTCCTTAGCGATCTGTCTAGCGCATAGCCTGCTGATCAAGGATTTTGAGATGGTTTGACCTAAGCGAGGCTGCGAGCTCCTCTGAGGGTAAATCAGCAACAGAGGAGGTTCATTCAACAATGAATGCACTCAATGCCAAGGTCTCTCGATGGCTCGAGCCAGGACCGTGGAACTAAGGATTTTAGTCTAAGGTAGCCGCTTCTAAATCCTAGTAGACAGTAGATACCCGCTGATTGTAGATATCCATGACCCCTTGGTCTACTGCTTTCTGCTTCACAGATGCCCCCTATTTCAGCCCGAGTCACTTCACGTCTGCCGACACAGAAGTGACCGTACATTGCCATGGGAATCAGCAGTGACATGATGCCTATTACATCAGACACCCTTCCTTGATACTCGAGTGCAAATCACTCATTCCAACCCTCACACGTCGGAAACCGCTGTGCTTTCCAGCTTTCTGTGGCTTGTCGGTGCCATTGTCTTTGCCGCTGGCACCGTCCGCAGCTGGAGACACCGCCCGTGCGCCGCTCATGACCGGCAATTCAATTGCCGATGCATCTACAATGCGTTCCAGAGCGAAGACTTCGACCATCCACTCGTACCAAACTTTCCGGTCATCGGTCTGCCTGGTCATAGTGACAACAATCTCCCCATTGTCGGGTACATTGAGGGGTGTCTAGAAGCCCGTTGTTAGACGCGAGTATTTCTCGGAAAAGACATGCATGAATTCTCACCTTGAGTGGAAAGTATATGGGGAACCAACTGATCATGTTAGCGCTCTTGCTGTCCATCGTGACGGGATTTGTTGATAGCTCCACATCACGATAGAGCACAGTCTCGAAGTAACCGGCCAGGCCGTGACAGACGCCACGATTCTGAGTAGGGAAGGCCAGGCGCGTGCGGCGAACATTGTGTGAGTTAGAGATGATGGACGTAAAATGCGACTGGGGAGGAATATCTCTGTTGGGATGCGAGAAGGACCATGCAGTCTGCACATAAGGGGTTGTAGACTCAGGCACTGGGATGGTCGATATAGAAGATCGAGTATTACTGATATAGCTGTTGCCGCTGTCGCCCGACGTGGTACCGGCAGATGGCTGATTCGTGGACAAGAAGTCGATGGCATGTAGCATGACAACGTACGGTGTTTCCGGGGCCGCTGGATTCGATATAGACTGGTTCACAACGTCCGCATGCAGCTTAGGGGCCGCAATCGGAGTGAGATGGGCCGTGTATGAGGCCGGAATGGAGATGCCGTGCACAGGATTGAGTAGATCAGTGATACCGTCCAAACATTCCGGCGACAGTTCATTGTCCCCGAAGGAGCCGAGAAGCTCTGAGACCACAATATCAATTTGACCAGAAGACAGGTCGGACGATGCCATGCTCTTCACAGACTCAGGCGCGGGCGTGTTGCCTTTTTGATCTGGTTCCGGTTTATAGAGCAGCGAATCCTCAATACCGAGCGACTGTCCAACTGTGGCCAGGGGTAAGCCAGAATCTTTCGCCCTTCGGGGACCTTTCCAGCTCCGCATATCCGACTGAACAAGGGTTGCCTTGCCGCCCCAGAGTTCCTCATTGTGGCGTTGAAGGAGGACAAACGCGTTGGGATTCTTCTCCACGACCCAAAGGTCGATATCGACGCCTGTTTCAGCGCTTGCTCGGATCGCTCGTGTTACCAAGGGCCCTCTGCCGGCGCCCACAACAGCGAGTACTACCCGACCATCCGGGTTAGAGGTAGGCTTCTTCTGCTCGGCCCAGTCGCTGAGGGCTTTCGCTATGGCTCTCTCATACCACTCATACTTGATAGGGTCTTTCTCAAAAACTTCATATGTGATGCTCTCCAAGTTGACCGTCAAGGGCTGCAGTGGCGCCTGAAGGTAGTCTTGATAACCCATGCCAAATCTCTCGATCGCAGAGCGTGGTGGTTGGCGTTGCTGGAGATTTCTGATATATGACAAATGAGGTGTCGGATCAATGAACTTCTTGCTCGAGACCGCGGCTTGCGAAAGACTTGGATATTCAGAGCTGGACAGGTTAGATTGAGTCGCCTCAGACGCCTCACTTGCCTCTACTCCCGGAATAGGGCCAACGTCGCAGAGGAGAATCCATGGGGGCGTCCGAAGACGCATGAACTTAGAAATCAATGCCTGGTGCGCTTTCGATAGGACAGGGTAGCCCTTCTGGTTCTTGATAAAAGTATTGGCGTCCATAGTAAGCAGGTGAACCGGCTCGGAATGCCACCGAGACTGGACGGACATTGGAGGAAGTTGTTTTGGTAAGGATAGTGCTGTCGGTATAGGTTTCAGCAACAGGACAAAGTGGAAATAGTCACAGATGTAAGAACGCGTCAAGGGCTGCAGAAACGGAAAATAAATTCTTACCTACGAAGAGTCTCGTGTGATATTTACAGGTTCTTCTAACTACGTCCCAAGCATCCCACGTTCCAAACAGGTCCACCTTGAGCGACTGCCCATCATCGGAACCCCAAAGGAACTCATCACGGGCAAGAGGAGCGAGGTCGCCCATACTATCAACTTCCAGATTTGGGTTGTCCACAATTCTCAGCCAAATATGAAACTGAATATATGGACCCAGATTAATGGCATCTTGAACTGCTCTCGCGTAGAAAATCAAGCCTTCTGAGTGCATATTTCCATGGTGGAGCTTCGGCCCTGGAATCAGGAGATATCCAATGCCGCAGAAAGCTGCATATGCCACTTCTAACATAAGAACTTGACGGGAGATATCTGCAATCAATGGATCGGGGGAACAAAGGTCAATCCAAGGGCTACTGACACCCATCAACTGGCTCATCGTTTGGTTCGGAGTGAGATGAGTGTCTGACGCGCCAAGTGGAGGGATGACCACAGGTCTCGTATTCTCAGTTGTCGCCAGAGGACCATTGGGATCGGACGATACTGCCTGCAACTTAGACAAGTGACCAGAGAGCAGACTTAGGACTCGAGAGTGAAAGTGAGGAGTAGTTATCGGCGTCGTAAGCATATCATACTAAAACCAACCTGTTAGCAGGCCAGACAATTCAGCGGATCGACGGGTACGTACGTTACTTTCGTGTGCCGACTGCACGATCTGGGTGGTGATGGGTATGGCACGGTTGCTTTCATGTTGACCAACGCAGAATGCGGGGGCCAAATCTTCTGAATCCATCTTCGTAACTACAGAACAGCGCGTTCTAGAGTTCCCACAGAGAACAATGATTTAGTGAAGATCAATCGACGAGCTGTCGAGGGTCCCAAATGTTGAGCTGTTGATCTCAACCAATAAATATATGCCTAGAAGATTAGTCCCGCATTTCAGATCAATTGACAATAGAATTCGGTTCTCCCAATGCGACTCCAGATGCACATATACGTGACGAAGGAACAAGTGACAGCGGCCAGTCGCTCAGTCAAGGAGCCTCCTCGCTTCTGAGACCTGCACCCAGGTATTAATATTGTCCAAGCGCTAGGTAGGCAGCTCCAAAACACGCACGGCAATCCCCCTACCTTTCTGTGGGGAGGGGAGTGGCAGAATTACTAGGCGGTGAGAGCACACAAAAAGGCACCGATGTGGCGGCGACTCTTGCCTATCTGGGTTAGACTATTTTTTCGCCAAAATTATTATTCTGTCGCCCGATAATTATTCAAGTAAGATTATGATTGAATTCGTCTGCAGAGGCGATCTCATTCACTGTCGCAACTCCACTCATTTGCAGACCTCATATCGCCATGGTCGATTCGCGCTCAGACTCTGAAGGTCGCTCGCGTGCTAAGCGTCAGAAGATGGACCAGACAGAGACGGATCCCAGGAACAATCCTTACCTCGCTCATATGTATGCGGATGCGTCTACCAACGGCAACTCGAGCTCATCAGGGACGAATCCTGCTTTCGCGAAGTTGAAGAGGCATCAGACGACATCAGCACTGGCAAAGGAGATAGAGGATGGGGAGATCAATCCATTTACCGGCCAACCTTTCTCCAGCAAGTACTTCTCTATCTTGCAGACTCGTCGTGATCTTCCAGTGCACCAGCAGAGGTAAGCCCGTTCAGACTCAAAAATGAGATTTTGGTTATAAATAACTGACCGTTATGTTCAAGAGATGAGTTTCTGCAGCTTTACCAGCAGTCCCAGATTCTAGTCTTCGTCGGTGAGACTGGTTCCGGAAAGACTACACAGATCCCCCAGTTCGTCTTGTACGATGATTTACCGCAAACCCAGCGCAAAATGGTCGCTTGTACTCAACCTCGTCGAGTCGCTGCCATGTCCGTTGCTCAGCGTGTGGCCGCTGAATTGGATGTTAAGCTTGGAGAGGAAGTTGGTTACAGTATCCGTTTCGAGGACATGACAAGTTCCAAGACCTGCTTGAAATATATGACGGATGGTATGCTTCTGAGAGAAGCTATGCATGACCATGACCTTACACGCTACAGCACAATTATTCTTGACGAAGCCCACGAAAGAACCATGGCTACCGATGTGCTTATGGGTCTTCTCAAAGAAGTTGTGCAGCGTCGGCCCGATTTGAAGATCATTATCATGTCCGCCACCTTGGATGCGCAAAAGTTCCAGCGGTATTTCAACGATGCTCCTCTACTTGCCGTTCCCGGTCGTACTCATCCCGTCGAAATCTTCTATACTCCCGAACCGGAACAGGATTACGTGGAAGCAGCCATTCGTACTGTCCTTCAAATCCACGCCACAGAGCCAGATGGTGACATCCTTCTGTTCCTGACCGGTGAGGAAGAAATCGAAGATGCTGCGCGCAAGATATCGCTTGAGGCGGACGAGATGGTGAGAGAAGCCGACGCTGGTCCCTTGAAAGTCTATCCGCTCTACGGCAGTCTGCCTCCGCACATGCAGCAGCGTATCTTCGAGCCCGCTCCTCCCCCTCGCAGACCCGGCGGTCGTCCTGGCCGTAAGGTGATTGTTTCGACGAACATTGCAGAAACGTCTCTTACCATCGACGGAATCGTGTACGTGGTGGATCCGGGATTCTCGAAACAGAAGATCTACAACCCTCGAATTCGGGTCGAGTCACTTCTCGTGTCTCCCATCTCCAAGGCTTCCGCTCAACAAAGAGCTGGTCGTGCGGGTCGTACGCGCCCCGGAAAATGCTTCCGTCTATACACGGAGGGTGCCTTCAAGAAGGAGTTGATTGATCAGACCTATCCCGAAATTCTCCGATCTAACCTTTCTTCGACCGTGCTAGAATTGAAGAAGCTGGGAATCGATGATCTGGTTCATTTTGACCTGATGGACCCTCCCGCCCCCGAGACTCTCATGAGAGCTCTGGAAGAGTTGAATTACTTGGCTTGCCTTGATGACGACGGCAATCTGACACCGCTGGGCCGCCTTGCTTCCGAGTTCCCTCTTGACCCCGCGCTTGCCGTCATGCTGATCAGCTCTCCCGAGTTCTACTGCTCAAATGAGATTCTGTCCATCACAGCTCTGCTTTCGGTTCCTCAGATTTTCGTGAGGCCCGCCTCGCAGAGAAAGCGCGCCGACGAGATGAAGAATCTTTTCGCTCATCCCGATGGTGACCACCTCACTCTTCTGAATGCCTATCATGCCTTCAAGAGTCCAGAAGCCCAGGAGAATCCAAAGCAGTGGTGTCACGATCATTATCTCTCCCTCAGATCTCTCCAATCGGCAGACAACGTTCGTATGCAGCTCCTGAGGATCATGGAGCGCGAGGAGCTGGAAATGATCTCGACTCCTTTTGAAGACAAGAAATACTACGAGAACATCCGGCGTGCGCTGTGCGCGGGATTCTTCATGCAGGTCGCAAAGAAGGAACCACAGGGAAAGAGTGTCTATACGACCGTCAAGGACAACCAGAGTGTTCTCCTGCACCCGTCAACCGTCCTCAGCTATGATGCCGAGTGGGTTCTCTATAACGAATTCGTCCTCACCACTAAGAATTACATTCGGACTGTGACCGCCGTCAAACCCGAATGGCTCCTTGTATGTCGTCTCCGTCCCAGTACTATCATTAAACGAGCATGTACTAACAACCTCTTTCTAGGATATCGCTCCCACATACTACGATATCTCAACCTTCCCCAAGGGCGAGATCCGATCCTCCTTGCTGCGCGCCGCAGAGAGACTGTCGCGCAAAGAGAAGATGCGCGGAGACTCTGCAAAGAGACGATAGATTATCCTGGTTTCGAGAATAAAATAGATTCCCCATTTCTTTTATTTCATGGTGGCGTCTTGACTTCAGTCATTCTAGAGTAGACTGCCTGACATGTATGTATATTCGGCGCCGTTTCGAATTCTAGATGTCACTATATGCCCTCTGATGATGGTAGTGAGAGTACAACTGCTTGAAACGCTAATAATGGGAATGTCTGGTAGACGTATTTCTGCGACTCATAACTCAAGAACCCATCAAGAGTGGTGAAGCAGGTGTTACGGCATCATCATTCCAAGTCCTATACCTATCCGACACAATATTATACAGGTAAGTGAATATAGCACTACAAACAACGCGTGCGATCAGTATCTTTGACGATCATTCTGCTGCAGCTACCGGTTCCGGATCCACCAACTTTCAGTGAACCGTGGCGCTCTGTAGGCTGTATTCTTTTCCCTCTGGAGGGTCTATGCCGTCGCCAGTGGAAGCCACAGTTGAGACATCCACACGTTTCTTCCGCCAGGAGGAGCCTGGCCTGGGACGTAGTTGCGAAATCATTTGCTTCAATTGCTGCACCTCCGATTTCAGAAGGTCGATTTCCTCCCGCGGCGTCTTCTCAGCGGATATTTCGTGTTCTTCAATAGGGTCGGAACCGACATGCTCAACGAAGTCGGATTTGTCAGAATTGAGGATCGGCTCGGGAGCCGGCTCGGTCGGTTTTGCGTCTTTGAGTTTGTGGAGAGGGCCAGACATAGCTGACAACACTTCCCGAGAATGCAGGGCAACCATCCTCTGCCAGTGGGCGGCGGGATTCTGTTCCTCGGATACAACGAGATCATCTAATTGCTCCCTAAATAGCTTGGCAAAGGCAAAAGACTTTTCCCATGCAGGCCTACTTCGTTTGTCTATTGTCGTTTGGTCGACCCTCTTCTGCCAATAATGGAGGCGAGGATCTCGGGCAAATTGGATGTCAAGTTGATTTGTCGTCGCGGAACTCCAATCAAAGCCACTGTCAATTGCGGCTGAGATCATGGCATCGCCTAGGTCCCATTTTCCACACCAGTCACAAAGCTGCACCATGTGCACAATCAGTCTCTCGATGTGCTGATCGGAGTGTAGCGTTGAACCAGTTAGGAAGGCAAGCGATCTCCGGAGTGTATACAACCCGTTTTGCCAGTCTTCCCTTCTGGCATAATACTTCAGATAGGCGTACAGGGTCGAGAAATCGTCTGTGAAGCCGTGTTTCCTCGCGGCTTGAAGCCAGGCATCAGCTCGATCCGGTTGATGGAAGCGCAAAGCTGCTGTGATCAACGTCGTATAAATGACAGGATTAGCACTGGCCACAGGGGGAACAGTTATTTCCACGTCATTGACGACCATCTTTTTGTAAAAACCCAATTTGCCCAGATCCACCGGGTAGCCTTCACCCCGAAGCACTTTCAGGAACGAATCAAACGCTTTGAGGTTTTTGGATTTCTTGTAATAGGTCAAAATTGAAATGATGAGAGAGGAGTTCAATGGAAACTTGTGCGGCAACACCGTCTTGAGCACCAGGTCCGTAAGATCGTTTTGCATGGACCTGGTGAAAGCTAATATCATCAGCTTCATGAAATACGGTCGGTCAGGATCCAAGGATTGAAGTAGATTGTTCGCTAATCGCAGATTTAATTCCTGTAGCGACATTTTGTTTCTGAGAAACAACGAGACATCTCGAGCTGCTTCATCATCGAGTCTTGTACGCTCCATTTGCAGCTCCGTAATCGACCGTACGCGGAGATCATGTGCCAGATCATCATAGTATGCACCTTCAGTGACTTTCAGAAGGCGAATCCTGCGTCGAAGTTTGTTCAGTTCAGACAACAACTCTGCGAAATTAAGTTGGGGCATCTCAAAGTCGGCCTTGTGGTCCATCGCAATACCCGAGTAACTGTGGGCGATTGACTCGCGAAGCAAAAGTCGTATAGCTAGTTGCTTCACTGCAAGTCTCCGGATGGCCTTCTGTCGAATTGTATTGTCCGACAGCCACTTCGGAACTTCCATATCTTCAGGGAAGAAACCATCTTGCAGCTCTGTTCTGTCGTCATCAAGATCTCCTTCGTCCTCAACAATTTCCTGAAGTTTTCCTCCCTCCAACTCGACTATTTCCTCGTCGTCCTCAAGATCAGCACCTCGTGCTGCATGGACCAAACGACGGGGAGAATTCCTTTGGAGCCATTGGTCGCTTCTCGGCGTTGGTATCGATCTCCAGGTCGTAAATGATCGTTTTTGTAAGGTTCTGTGTGACAGGGTACGCGACCTCCGAGCCTGAATGGCCTCTAGTAGTCGATGTTCTTCATCCACCAATTCGTTCACCTCCTCCTTCACGGCTGCGATCTTCTCGGCCCACTCATGTCGGCGCTTGTCCTTCGCCCGAGCATCTGCCAAAGCTGCGGCAGCAAAGATACTGGTGTACAGCGCCGTGACCGAATTCCCTATGCGAAGGCGTCTTTTGCTTGCTGCGGTTGCTGCTCGGGATGTTATTCCGGGTGCGCTGGTACTGAGGCAGGGAACGCATCGACAGGTCGACTGCGTCGGAGCAACGCGGGACCATAGACTTTGCATTATCGTGGCATTTCTAAGCGGAGCTCATTCGGATAAAGCATATGGTGGTCGAGTCAATGTCAATGGAGGTGTCTCTCCGGCTCAATGGCGTCTGAAAAGAGCGCAGGCCAAGATAGTCGATGGTGAGTCCAGGACCCCGGCGATGGCACGATGTATGCGGATTTCTTACTCGAGCCGGAAAAAAGGCGAGGGCCCCGATGCAAACAATGCAAACAACCAAGTAGTTGAGGAGATGTGGACAAGCCATTGTTATGTTTCTCGTCTCTTTTATCATTATTTACCATTTTGATACTGGATACATTCTGATCTGTAAGTATCTGGGATTTGTACATCTTAAGTTTGGAATTGTCATTCAAGCAGCTTTGTCGACAATGCTTGTCCGCTCCATTGGCTTTGCTACTGCACTGCTGGCTTTAAGCAACAGCTTTGCCAATGCTCATGGATCGCATGCGAGCGAGCAGAACCCTTCCTCAGACTGGGCGACTCGCCATATGCAAGGTAGCTCTCTACATCGTCGTCATTCCATTGGGAACCGCCATTGACAATCTATTCGACAGAGGAACACCACATCGATTCCTTCGACGCAGGTTCTTTTTTCACCCTCCACGACTACGATTCCTCCGGCGCATGGACCCCTGATGAAGTCCGAAAGACATATGGCATGGATGATGAGTCAAATTCTGGGGTGAACGAGGAGCGCAAGCAACAGGCGCTTCGCGAAGTGTTTGCCCTTTTCGACACAGGAAGTTCAGGGGTTATCACTCGCGACAACTGGATGCGTCTCATCTCAGCCGGTAAACGGTTACCCGATCTCGGATTCGGTCCTGGACACCATGGCGATATTGAATACGAGTATGAAATCCATCATTTCGAGAAATTTCACGGGGAGGATGCCAAGTTAGAAGATCTCACCCATCCCGAAGATATCGAGCATTTCCGAAGACATGACGAGGAAGAAGATGCCGCGGATAGACTTGAACAACTGGAACGAATGGCGATTGTCGATGCGAATATCCCGCAGAAATTTCTCAGACGGACATAGAGATGTACAGTTTGATATCTGTCGTGTTGTATATATGTGCATGTTATCAGAGAGTCCGCAGGTCGGTTGCACGACATGAGCTGGTGAAATCTATACTCTTCATTTTGGAACTCACAGGTGAGACAGTTTCATTCTCATGAGGTGCAATAGCCACTCTCTCGCCGTAGCATCTGACGTCAGGATTGAGACTGCTTTGACATTCGGCTTAGCTCGAGTCTCGTAGGAGGTGCGTCTCCTGACGGGGGCAACTTGATGTCGAAGACGCAATGCATAATGCCTGGTGCATATGTCTTGACATGCTCGATATGACGGCATTCAATAGGCTGCTGAACATCACTTGGGAAGGTTAACGCTCTCAATCTGCCAATCTCTGTGATGATTTCCTGCTTCTTCGCATCAATATGTTGCACATCCACGTTCTCATGCACATGTATCCAGCCTCCCATCTGTAGATCGATCATTGCGCAAGCGTCACTCCAAGCACCGCTGGATGAAGGAAGGAGACCTAGGTTGACATGTCGAATTCTATTCCATGCACCTCGGCGCCCCATTTGCCCTTTGATTTCGCTCATAACGCGAGCGGCGAATTTGTTGTCCCCATGGAACAAGATCACCCTGTCTGAATCTTGAAGACTGTCAACCAGATCCGGGATTGGTTCACTCGATGTTCCATCATTCCCAACTTGAACCACTTTGCACCCCCATCCATTCTCTGTACACCCTCTCCTCAAACCCTCGACCGACCATCCGTTGATCTCCCATCCCCAGACCCTCTTCACCCCTCTTTTCAGATATGAGAAGACGAAATACCCAATACCCGCATACATATCAACCACGCTGATATCGCCGATGTCTTCTCCAAGGGTACCTTCATCAAGCCCTTCAAACACCGATCCTTGACCCAGAATGCGGGCCTTCTCCGTGATATTCCCTCGAGAAAACATCGTATACAGGGGGGCCCAGATCTGCACAATCCCCTGATTCTGCATAGTTTGCGCCCAGAACGCACGCTGCAAGTCCTCCCGCGTCGGCTGCGCATTCTCACCATCCCCAGACGGCGCCAGGCCAAAGTCTCCGTGAAGAGGAATCAGTCCTGCAGGGCTACGCATCCTGTTCTCTCCTCCCTGCGTGTTCGTAGGCGCGATAGGCGCATTCATAGCAATATGAGTAACGCCCATCCGCCCGAATGCCGTAGCAATCGACTCAAAGAGCAGCCTTCGCTTTTGGCAATCTAGGCTTGCATAAAGCGAGCCCCAGGCTGGAGGATCGCTGAGTGCGTTCACTGGCAGCAGCAGCAGTGGTTCATACACTGTGAAACGTTTCGGAAGGGCTGATTCCAGCTTCTCTGGTGACAGACCTTGTATGGCAAGGTCGTCTGAGGGTATATGTCTTGTTACAAAGTCCTGTATGCCTCTTCGGAGGGGATTTGAGCACTTTGCTCGACGTTTAGTTTCCCTGGCGTGGTTTGTAGGCTTCTTGACATGTCCATCTGTAGTGTGATCCCCTGTTGGATCGTCGGAAGGCATATTGTCCTGCCACTACGGCAGATGCTGACTGCCTCAACAATATGTGAGCACTTGAGATGATGTTGACCTACTGATCAGGAGCTCATTTTATGAACTCTGCATATGAATTTGAATTATTGCAAAAATTGCTCGAGTCATCTTTCGGAAATAATTTTCGTTCTGGCACCGCCCTATGTCATGTGACTTCTATACAAGGTACTCAGATGGTTGACTTTATAGGTATCGTTGGATGTATAACACTGAACTACATTGAGAAAACTACCTCGCAGAGGTTATTTTGCGAGTGTATGAGTTACCTACGGTAGTCATATCGACTGTTGCAAGTAGAGAGCCCGATTTGAGCTGAATTGGACTATAATGTAGTGAGGTGCATGGAATCATCGGTAAGTATCTAAGGGCTAAAAGTGTGTCATAAACCAGGATTGTTCCTTTATTGGCGCAAGGCTTTCGGTATCTGAAGCCAAAAAGAGAAAGAGAAAGAAGAGCACAGAGTGACAGCCGCCGCTTGAAAATCAATGGATAGAGAAATGGAGATGTGCCGCTAGAAAAGTGGTATCAAATGAATAAGATTCAGTAATCTGTTACAGAGTATCCCAGCCGGTCATTGGACTCAAGCACCCTGTAGCATGAGTCAGTATCAAGTTCGAAGTCTGAATGTTTGGACAGGTAAACTCACGAGTACTGTTTTGTCAGCGTACCTTCGCCGCCTTTCGAGAGATCGATGCTGAAGACATAAAAGTTACCATCGCTGGTAACCACCATGACCTGGGGTGTGTTGCTACTCATAGCTACCACGCTGCGGAGAGGGCCATTGTTCCCGCTGCCACCAGAAGTTTGGCTTGGCTTTGGCAATTTGAACCAAGCAAAATCACGGGTCGGCTCCCACATTTCGCTGACTCCTTTCGGAAGGTAACCTCCCACCTTGGCAGCGACAGTACTGCCAACATTTTGCGAGGTCCGTCTGATCATACCCATCAGAGTTCCATTATGTTTCCGGGCGGGGAAATCTGATGAACCCACGTCTCCTGTCAGGTCGCCGCGGTCAGGAGAATAACCAGAGGAGCTTTGACTGAGCGACCTGTCACGGCCCACAGGAGAGGAAGGGGAGGCGTCTGGAGATGACGTTGGATGGCTCAACTTGAAAAGGTGTATTGTCTCTGTAGAAGAGGAGACGCAGAGCAGGGTCGATGTGGTATTGAACGACATGCTGAAGATCCTCGATGGCATAGAACCGCGTCGGAATTGGTATAGCTTGTGACCGTCAGGAACGGAGAAGACGCGGATTATGGTTCCCTTGTCAGAAGCGGTGGCGAGCAGAGTGCCATCATTGTTGAGCGTGATGCAAGCCAGCGGAGATCGGTGAGCTTCAATGACATTTATGGCCTCCAGCTTTAAGGTATCGAATATCAGAACCTCTCCGCTTGTCGGCGATACATGAGTATTACCCGGAGGAGTATGAGACGGCGGATTGAACGAGGAAGGCGGCGCCTTTTGTGGAAGAGGGTATGCGAGGTAACAATTGTCAGAGGACGGTGATAGCGCGCAGATCGCTGTCTGGCATTAGAAAACGATCGACTAAAGGCAAGAGTGGATTACATCGCTTACCGTTGGGGTTGGGCGACGTCTGGATGGTGTAGAGCAGTTTCATCGTCTGAATGTCGTAAAGATAGATCTGATCTTCAAGGACAATCACGAGACGTTTCCGATTCAATTTGACCGCCAGCACGGTCGTGGGGAAGGTTAATTCGCATATCGTAGATTGGCGCTATATGAGGCAAATAGCCAAGCAAAAAGCGTCAACATATGCCGCAAAGTAAAGCGCACTCAACAGCATGACTCTGATCCTCGTGTCTATCGGGAAAAAAGAGTTCAAGAATGTACAGTTGTCCAGTGATGAACTACGAACCTTAGTATTAGTGATTTGAAGACGACGCGGTGAGAGGATGAGCGCAACAAGAGATGTCGAGAACAGCATCTCGATGATGGCAATATTTCCCTCTTTCGTCTCATAACTCTTCGCGAAAGGGTCCGTCGTGAATATGCGAAAACCCTTCGAGGTCGCTGATGGAGGGAATACAGAGCCTTAGAGCGTGCGCATGCGCTTGAAGAGTTCCAAAGGGGCGCTTACCAACAGCCAGATAGCTGTAGTCTTGGTTGAAGGTCACAAAGTTCATTGCCATCCTGACTCCGGTAGGCTACCACCTCGCCTGATATGTCCTTTGCTCGATCCAATATCCGTCTTGTATAGTCTGATAGTCACCGGCGACAGTAGAACAGACAGACAGGCTACCCCGCTGAATCACGCTCCGAAGTCGTATATGAGGATGGACGAGGGGCAAACAGAACAGCAGATCAACGGGGTCTCATAGCAGATCGGGTTCGTCACAAACAGCTCCGGATTTGCATTTCGGGTCTCTCAGGAGATACTGGCACGATTGATCTCATACACAGACGTAAAAACAGACTTCCTTCGAAACGCCGTGGACACTGTCGTCATTTCAGACCAGAGCGGTGTCTTTGGAACTTGGCAGGAAACTAGCTCTCATTCGCGGAGGATCGCGGGGGATCGCCTGAACTGCTTTCATTGCCGCGGTTCGCTGTACAGTTGGGCGAAACGCGCTAAGCGAGCATTGGGCGCTTGGGCCACATCTTGCTCCGCAATCTGGTAAATTTTTTAGTCCTCGAGGGCCCCCTCCATGGACTGAACAGTGATTCCAACAGTTTACTGATTGTGACTGTCTGTCTTCTTTTGTCCTTTGTTGGCCGCTGAATCCACAATGAGGGCTGCAAAGAAACCAGCTACGGCTGGAGTCAACACCAAGGCCGAACGAGACGCCGATCTAGTGATGGGAGTAAGTCGTTCTAAAGACGACTCCGCGCACATACCACTGACTTCTTCTACGTAGACTAATAATAGCAGCATTGTGTCCAAGCGGAGCGTCGAATTACTATACTACCCCAAGCCCCATTTCTTCAGATATTTCGTGAAGAAACCCCCGAGACGGTCGCCTTTGATCAATCGTGGATACTGGCTTCGCATGCATGCTATGGCGGAGTCGGTTCGGCGGTTCATGAGGCAGCCGTCTGATAAACCCAAATTCGTACTGAATCTTGGATGTGGATTGTAAGTCGTAGAGAACTACCGCTGTGCCGATCGGACGAAGGAGAAATGGCCGCATGAGTCGTATGCTAAGTTGGGCTATCGTAGTGATCCATTACCGTTCATACTCCTGAGTACCGATAAATCCTTGTGTAGCACCACGAGGTTCGTTGATATCGACTATGAGAAGCTGATGGTCAATAAGAAGACGGCCATTTGCAGGACAGACGAGATTACCCAGCTTCTTGAGAACGTAGAATTTCTCTCGGATGAAAGTCCAATCCAGATCCGCAGCGAGCAATACTTGGCGATTGGTTGTGATCTGAAGAACCTCAAGAAGCTAGATGATGTGCTGAAGACAGAGGTCCTTCCGTCTGAATGCTCTATTTTGTTCCTGGCAGAGGTCTCTCTGACCTACATGGATGTCAAGTCTGCCAATGCTGTGTTGGACTGGGCCTCAAAGCTCAACAATGGTTAATACCGTCAATATACCATATCAGTGTCGTCAAGCTAACAGGGTATTCAGATTCTCAGTTCTGTATATTGGAACAGTTCTTCCCTGACGGACCCAATCATCCTTTTGCTTCAACAATGATGAAGCACTTCAACAAACTCGGAGCGCCCTTGTACTCAATCCACGAATATCCTTCACTGAGTGAGCAAGAACAGCGATTTAGAAATGCCGGCTGGGCACATGCGCAGGCTAGAAGTCTCTGGGATCTCTGGTCAGATAAGGAATTTGTCGGAAGTTCTCTACGAGCATGGCTTGATACAGTCGAACCGTTCGATGAGTGGGAAGAGTTTGCACTCTTTGCCTCGCATTACTTCTTGCTCGTCGCTTCTACGAAACCACATGCCTTGGTTCAGGAGTCACAGAAGACGCCGGCATTTACTAAGGAGCCCGATGTATCCTCACAATATGTGCTGCTTGCGCGTAACGACCCGAGAGGCGGGCAGAGGAGGTTCGGGGCCCTCATCCCGGACAGTGAAAATTCCATGGGTCACCATTCGGGTTTAGGCCGCCAGACTCGCGATGTGTCGACAGATCTCTACAGTAAGCGCAAGGGTATGACTACCCCGCAGCTTCCATTCCCTCCACGAGAGGTCTCTGCGCGGATGTGTCACACGGTGACTAGCCTGAGCGGTGGTGACTGCTTGCTCGTCGGTGGGAGAGCGTCACCTGCGAACGCATTTCAAGATTGCTGGTTGCGACAGGGAAAGCTGTGGCAGTCCATTCAGAGTCTCCCAGCTCCTCGCTTCAGACACTGCGCGGTCAAGATTACCCTTGAGACAGGTTCGGACTTGGTCCTTGTGTACGGCGGGAGATCTAGCGACGGATCGATCTTTGACACTTGGTTATTATGGCAAACAAGCAGCAACGGATGGCAGGAAGTTGAGATACAAGGCGCAAGACCTCCTGCTCGATTTGGGGCCTGTCTAGAGAGCGTCAACCATACCACAGGCGTCCTGTTCGGAGGCATTGGCTCCGACGGAATCATCATTGAAGACTTTTGGATATGGAAGATATGCCAGCGCAGTGACGGTACTATATTTCTGGAGTTGACCGATCATACCGAGCACCTGCAACAAACACCTCTGGGTCAGTACATTCACCGATTTGGATCCACAGTCACACGGACTTCTTGGGGGATGGTTATAGCTGGTGGAATTGTTCCTCGACAGATTGTCCCATATGAATGTGAAATCATGTTGCTTGATGTAGGAGAGCTCCTCAAATGCGTCGAAAACGAGTCGTCCTGGGGCCACCGGATTCTGTCTGCGATAGGACTCGGGGCTAAATTGCAGGGTCCTAGACCGTTGCTTGTCGGTCATGTGGCCTGTGCGATTGATCCAGACCAGGTTTTGATACTGGGAGGTGGCGCAGTTTGCTTCTCGTTTGGCACATTCTGGACGGAAGGGAGCTGGGTTCTGAGGCCGGCCGGCTCTACAGCCCAGAACGAGTGGACTCTTGTTCCTGAAGCTACGCATACTCCGAGACCTGTCGCATCTCCCAATGTTCCACAAATTGCAGGCTGCAGCACTACTTCGAAACTCTCATCGATTCGCCGTATACGAGTCGACACCTCCGAGCAATTCCAGCAGATCTTGGCTAATGGCAAGCCGGTGATTATTGAGGGGTCAGACATTGGACCTTGCGTCGAACTCTGGACGAAGGAATATTTGACAGATGCTGTGGGAAGTGATCGCAAGGTAAGCCGTAGTCGAGACAATTCGGGACCCGCATCTAAGGATTCGTAAATAGGTCGTGGTTCATGAGAGTCGGTCGGAAAACATGAATTTCCAGGCGAAGAATTTCTCCTATGTAACCAAGACTTTCGGGGACTTCTTGGACGAGGTTCATGCGGGTGCTCGCCAGTATCTCCGAAGCATTTCCGCTGAACAACCAACCAAGCTTCCTGCCAACCTTGCCGCGGATTTCCCTGGTCTGAAGGATGACTTTAAACTCCCTGAGGCACTCTCATTCGTGACAGAAAATGCCCACAGCTCTCCGTTAAGAATTTCCGGGCCGGTTACTATGTGGCTCCATTACGATGTAAGTCCAACTACCAAACAAGAGGGATGGAAGCTCAGAGTGGCTGATCGCTATGCGCAGGTGATGGCGAATGTCTTATGCCAAATCCGAGGGGAGAGGAGATTGGTACTCTTCCCTCCCACTGACGTGCAATACTTGCAAGTGCCACCAGGAGCGTCTAGCTCTACCACCGATATTTTCCAGAATATCAAAGACGGCTCTGTCGTCTCAATTCCACACACGTCGCCGCAAGAAGCTGTGCTGAACAGTGGCGATATTTTATTCATCCCACCGATGTGGCTGCATACTGCTTCTCCAACTGGCGGGGTTAGTGTTGCAGTCAATGTATTCTTCCGCAGCCTGCCCAAAGGATATGCTGCTGGTCGAGACGTCTACGGCAACCGTGACTTGCAGGCCTATGAGAAAGCCAGAACTGACATTCAGAAGATGGTGAGGTCTTTCGACGGTCTCCCATCTGACATATCTCGCTTCTATCTGTTGAGGCTCGCGCAGGAACTGAAAGACAGCGCCGGAATATAATTGGGGCCAAGTGTTCGCGGCATTGGGAAATAGTTGCGTGGTGAATTGCGCGTGGACAAGGCTAGTTGTCCATTTGATGTTTTATACCAGCTCTTCAAGCTACAAACGGGAATCGCGTTCCGCGCGCTAGCTCGTCATATAACCAGCAGATCGCAGCAGAGCACTACTGCACTTTCAATCCAAACTTGCCGGTGCTGGTCATCTGGCTTATCCGCATGTCGCTTGTTTTTCAGTGGGTATGGTATAGCCATCGCGAGAATTGTACCCCGGTAACATTAACATGGTAGGGTTGCGAAACGTCTAGAGGTGTTAAGTTGGGACCAAAGGCAGCATCATAACCTTCTACCCGAGGAGGCCAAGCTAGCCAGTGGAAACAACGTAGAGTTGCACGCGCCAGACAAGCATAATGCTCTGTGTTCAACTCCTCGCTCGTCAGACGAAACCCGGCAGCCATAGTTGAGAAGTCTAGATTATAAAAAGACGATGGACTGTGGTGCCAAAAGGCTGTCCTGATGTTGTGTGTTGTCCATCCATCCACGTAGCATATGTAAGCTAGACCAGGATCGAAGTTTCCGAGTGGGGTAAACACAGAGTTCTTGAGTTGTAAATGGGATTGTTGAACAACAAACACTCAGCTCAGGCGTTTAGAACAAGATCGCGTGCCACTGACGCTCTTGTTTCCGAAGCTTGCAGGCTACAGAACGTACATAGTGCGCAAGCGACCTGCAGGTTCCAAATCTGAAGCTTCAGTCAGACCGTTAGAAGAAAGTAAGCAGGGGAAGGAAACCATGGTAACCGGCAGACGGCCCTCGAGAACCTCGGACGCAGGTGCGATTGCACTATCGCACAACGGCAGTCCAGCAGGGAATAATCCCGGACAATACCTTATCGTTGTGAAACTTTCTGGCAGCACCTATCAATCCTGGTAACTATGTCCGAGAGGACAGAGAACGCGAGATTTCGTCGTCATAGTTTCCGTCGCAATGGACGTTCCTCAGGCTGTGGCC